GTGGCGAGCAAACGTCCATCGATGGAACTCCAAACTTTGACAAGTAAATCGTCCGCTCCTGTTATGATGTATGTACCAGTGCGATCAAACAGCACACAGTACACCGCAGATAAATGGCCCAATGTATGCCGATACAACTTCATTTTGCTGTAGAATCTTGTCGGTATAGCTTGCGTTCGACTTGAAGGGCCAGAATTCTCACGTCCCTGAAGTACTCGTACTATTGGGCAAAAAGATGTGCACGATGAAATTATATACCGACATTTTATACATAGCCATTGATACAGACATTTCATACAAAGCAAAAGACTACTGTTCAAAAATGCACATAACAAATATATCTTTTACAAACAACCGTATGATTTTCAAGCTTTCTCACCTATATTAGGCACTGATAAGCTACCGGCCAATTCCAGAAAAGGTTTTCCACCGAATCTTCCGGAATAATCGAAAATGCTGTATGTATGGCGCGTAGAATCTGCAGAAACAGAATTTTACAAATGCCGTATGTAAATTACATATCTGGCAGAAGTGAACGTTTATTTATGTGAGAAAATATTAATTTTAATAAATATATATGATATTAAGACTTTTGTGATTTTATACCTTCGTGGGTACGCAGTAAGGATTGTCTGCCTGCTCCCAGAAGTGATATCACTCCACGAACGCATGGTGGCACTTCTTTTTCCAACACTGGTCCGATTCTGGCACATATTTGTAACAAGTAAGTTGATCCAATGTGAGGATATTTCTTTTCCTAAAAAGATTGTTACTTAATTAGTCGCTATAAGATAATCCACAAATATTAGATATAAAAAAATTTGGCAAATATCTATAAAGTATATATATATATCGAATATTAGTCAATGCTGTCAAAGATGTTTATTTAATTCTGTCGGTCTGTTTAAATTTATTATATAATCATATCGATTGGATTAATAAGATTAAAAAACACTAATAAAAAATTAAAAAATTTCACAGAAAAAAGATGTTACATTAAACAGTTAAAATCTGCAAATATCAATTTTTAAATCAAACATTAGTAAGAAAATAAATTACATTTTGTATCAAATAGACCAGCTGAATTAAAGATTTCTTATTTATGTTTATTGCAAATGTTTAAAAATTATAGAATATTCACAGAAAGAAGTATAGATTAAATCGATACTCACACACACATAATTGGTTCTTATATTTAAAACTTAAGTATAGTTTTGAAATGTTATAAGACAATTGACAATCACAGAGCAGCATTAACATTTTAAAACAATATATTTCAGACGATCTTAAAATAAGAATGGACTATGAATACCCCAGTCATAGTTTTAATAATCAAAAACATGTGCATTTATTTAAACATTATATGGTTCTGAATTTTTTATACCAGACGTATAAGACTCAAGAATTAATCAAGAATCAAATAATTAAACAAAGAGCTACGAGTCAATTCGTATCATTCAAGTAATTTAACTAACTTATAACTCCTTGTTTGATTTATAATCATTTGAGCCGTTTTCTTATCCTGTTGTTCAATAAAAAATAATTACCTGTAATAAAAAAAATAGTGCCGCACAAAATCGAAAATTAATGTTCTCTAATTACTATCAAAATCAATTGGAACTGTCTAACTCATAACAACATCGCGCGAAAAATTTGAACAATCAAGTAGTTCCCACCGTCGGGCCAATTGATACTTGCGCACAGACGCTCCAACCAATCAGCGCGGCTCACTCGTCCCACACAAGACTATACTCCGTAAATAAGCTAAGAGTATCTATATTCATTGATCAGCTCACGCGAAATGGCCGGAAGCGCGCCGCGATTGGCCGACGGATGGCTGTGGTGGGGGAACTGTGGCGAACGGTCACAGTACGAGACAGAGAGAAGAGAGGGAATAAGCGACGCGAGAGGAATCACTGCGAAGGCAGTGGGATCAAAAGGGGGTAGAGCAACCTCCCCGCGGATCGACGGAGGTACTCCCGTGCGCTCGGCGCATAATTTCATCGAACCACCTTGCGACGCAGCCCGAGGGACTCGCGTCGCATGGCGACTCGAGAGGCCCACACTCGTCTCGCCGTACCGATCGCCATGTCACGACGATGCCATACTCACCAATTCCTCAAACGACTGACTATGCACGTTGCCCTCCCAATCGATACGCGCCGGTAGTACCTGCGAACAGAGGGATGATCTAAAATCCATATAAGGGATGAGGGGGAGGGAGGGGGAGGATCAATGCCGATCGATCGGGCAAGCTTGATCGGCAGGAGCGCCGATCATGCCATGGTGAGTGGCCGCGATACCTCGCGATCGACCAAGGTCAGTGACCTTGAGATTCTAATGTTTTGACAAGCAGAAACCACGTGCGAACCATGTGGTCCGCTAGTTGTATACAGTGTCGGATCCGCCGTACGGCTTACCTCAGTACGCTCCAGTTCCCGCTTCAATATCTGAAACAAAGCGCGTTGAGCGTTCGCGTGACGCGATCGTAAGGCTGGTACGCGGACATGGAAGGTGGACTCGTAACGTCGTTCACTTACCGTCGCTGCCTCCGGACAGATACCCGCTTCGAGAAACTTAACAATCAGGAAGTACAGCTCTGGAAAAAGAGAGATGCGCAGGGCGCCTTTAGTGACGGAGGAACGTGTCGGCGCGACGGTATACGGCAACACACTCATCCGTGTCGTCCTCGCTTCGCCGTTTACGGCGTATCCGCGTTTACCTGGTGCAATCCCGGACTCGATCCTGGATGCGCTGCCCTCCATCACGGCCGATCGATTTTCTATTCACTTACGGATGACGACGGCAACATCGGGCTTACGGCTCCTAGCGCCGTGATAACCACCGTGGTGTTCATTTTCTCTGTCTCTGAGACCAACGCACACACCGCACACGCGCACTCTGCCTACTCGACGCGAAGTAGTCCCCCAATGGCGGCGCGCCGCGCCGTCCAACGGACAGGAGCGTATCCATCATGCCACACGCGCGCTGCGGGGCCCGGCTAATTCACATTCTCCTATGTCTCACATGATCATTTTTCGACTCACACTATCATAAATCGGCAATTTTCTGCGTATCGTCCAACCGATCGATTATCAAATTTCTAATAAATTTTGCAAGGCCATACGGACAAATTTTATGCCTCACACGACTGTTACGAGGAAACATGGCGAACATCCGGGTTACATCATCCGGGAGCCTATCAGCGAAACGATGAATCCGCCATTGAGCGCGCCATGCTTGAAAACGTCTCGCGATTGGTCTCGCGAATCACGAATTTGATCGAAACAAAATTGTAAATCGTATAATTTGTTTTATAGAAACGAAACAGGACGGAAAAAGTAATGTGAATAAAAACACGAATATTGTATAATCCAGCAATAATTTATCCTGCATGTAACATCTTCATTATGGGACGAATTAAAAGTTTATTTGAAAAGAAGATTATTCGGTAACGCCCGTGCACGATGATCGAGAGACGAAGACCACAGGAAAGACTAAAGAAAAATTATGTATTAAAGTTACATTAAAAATGAAATTACTATCGCTCGCATCGCTCGCCTCATCGTACATCTTCGATTCGTGCAACTTTCGAATGTAATTAATAAGTATGTATAAATCTGTAAGGCAAATTGTGAAAGATTACATCGACCTGCATCGGGAAACGCAACGCGTTTCGATTCGAGTAAGATCGTAATTTATTGTGTCAGACGTACGCGATTGCGATCATTCTCGAACAATCGTTGCATATTAAATTTATGTGTGAATTTGTAGGACATAATTTTATGGAGACAGTCTGTTTGTTGCAGCTGCATGGTGATAATTAAAGAATTGGGAAAGGAGAGAAATAAAGAAAATGCGCACATGGCGCAATCGCGGAAACGGCCAGGATGACACGTGCAGTATGTATGTATAGGCTAGCGAGAGCGTGCATACGTCATAATTGTGTGTGTGTGTGTGCGTGTGTGTGCGTGTGTGTGCAAATATATTATATGTATATGTATTAATGTATAAGTCTGTTTGCACTGCTTATACTTTTTTAACCTTTGCTTTCTCTCTCTCTCTCTCTCTCTCTCTCATCAACGCCCGAATATATATTTATCTCGTTTTAAGTGCAACAATTTTTGAGAATTATTTCGAACAAAAAACCTTGGTATCAATCATGAAATCTTTTTCCTAGAATGAAAAATGAAAAGTGAAAAATTTCTCCATTAACGTCAACGGTTAAAGTTTTCACCTTTCACTTTCCATCCTAGGGATAAAGTTTCATGATTGATATCTTTATGTGTGCATGAATACATATTTTAGATTTTGTGTTGCTGAAAATTCCTAAAAATTTTTTTACTGTTGAAACAAGATAAATTGCATATTCTGATATTGGAAAGTAAGAGAGAAAAAGAGATAGAGAAAGAGAGAGAGAGAGAGAGAGAGAGAGAGAAAGAGCGATAAAAAGTGAAGATTTTGAGTGCAAAAAGTGTAAACACGACAGGCTCATCACATGAGAGCGCGTGTAGGAATAATGTATGTTTAGATTAATTATCAATAAGATAAATTTGCTATCTCTTCGCATTCTGTTCGAATCCGCTATCAGATTGCAAGTGCGTTTCGTTTTATACATGATATATATATCATTTTATCCTTGTTCATTGGACATTAAAAAAAGATAAAATGATACATTATGCGTATCACGTGTGAAATGAAATGCACCCCCTCGTTTCTATTTTCGCGATACGCACCTGCAACCTGCACCTACAACTCACTTCACGTGAGAGAGAGAGAGGAGACGTGGGCCAATATGGCGGCCGCGTGAATGAATAGGAAAATAAGGGCTCTCACGCTTCATTCACGCTCGCACGAATGTCGTCGCATTGAATCAATTCTTTTTTTGCATTTCTTTTTCTCTGTATTGAATTTTTAATCTGCATATGTTAAGGATCACAGTATCACACTTTAATTGAATTAATTGTATACAAGGCATCGTTAGATGGTTTTAAATCATTGACGACGCCGGCGGTCGCAGGTGTTCGATTCGAATTCGACCGTTCGACGAAAAAAATGTTCGATGAGAATCACGATAGCTATTCCGACGTCCCTGGCTCACGTTAGATAAGAGAGAGAGAGAGAGAGAGAGAGAGAGAGAGAGAGAGAGAGAGAGAGAGAGAGAGAGCTACGAGTAAACCGCGCCTGGTTTTTGTCGGTATTTCGTTCGAAGTAATAGGAGTCGAGGAAAATAACCTGACGTATTATCGACAGTATGGTCAAATTAACGTGTAGATAAAGCGAGTGATTAAGATGATGACGGAAATGTACGAAAACAACTTGGAGATAGTGTATTTTATTTTTTAAATTACGATTCGAAGGTTAGATGATGACTGGCAGCTGATATTGTGTTAATGAGTATTATATATCTTGTGTTCGACAAGTATTGAATATTGAATAGTGAATGTGACAGAAACTTTTGGAACATTAAAGAGTTGAGCACAGATTGTACATTTTCATATGCCTAAACGTGAAATTTAAAATACGATGTCGTGGCTAAAAGAATGCACTTTGAATTGGTTTCAATCCCTAGCTTTAAAGATTATTAAGACCGGCGAAGTGCCTAAACACGTGGCGTTTATCATGGATGGTAATAGACGTTACGCGAATAAACAGAACTTGCAGAAAGGAGAGGGTCACTCAAAAGGGTATGTATTTTTCAAGAAAGTTTACAGATATACTGTCCCGTTCATTTATTTCATATCTTATATTTTATTTATGACAGGTTCGACAAAATGACTGAGATGTTAAACTGGTGCATGGATCTCGGTGTTGTAGAAGTCACAGTTTATGCATTTAGTATAGAAAACTTTAAACGTAGCAAAGAAGAAGTTGATGGTCTCATGGACCTTGCCAGGCAGAAGTTCAAGCGTCTCTTAGAAGAGAAGTATGTGTAACATTAAAAATTTTTTTAATCAGGTATCGCAACACAATACAGATTTTGTTATTACAAATTTATATAAACAATTTCCAGGGAAAAATTGATGGACGTTGGAGTATGTGTTCGTGTGATTGGCAATTTGTCCCTGATTCCAGAAGATCTATGTAAATTAGTTGCTGAAGCTATGACTATTACTAGGGAAAATAATAAAGCATTTTTAAATCTTGCTTTTGCTTATACGTGTAAGTATAATTACCAATAAATCATATTTATGTTTACACTTGATTTATACTATATATTACACTGCGTGTAGGCTGCGTTTAGGGAGTGTGCTATCAGCATTATTGCATCATTCTGTTTTATGTCTCATAAACAATTAAGATAGAATGATGCAATAGTGCTAACAGTATGCTCCCAGGACACAGCCTAAAATATTTGAAAAAAATCATTGATATATAACAGTGTACTCTCTGGACAATTAATTTTGTGACGTATATATAAATAAATGTTTAATATTTTATATAATTAATATATATTTATATATAATTTTTATATTTTTTAATATTGCTATAGCAAGAGATGAAATTACTCATGCAATTAAGGATATAATACAAGGTGTAAAGGATGCTGATATTTTACCTGAAGATATTAATGAAGATCTGATTACTGATTGTTTGTACACTTACAAGTCTCCAAATCCAGATTTATTAATTCGTACTTCCGGAGAAACTCGACTTAGCGATTTCCTCATGTGGCAAGTAAGAAAATATTTAATTTTTGTGACTTGAATCTATCTGTCCTTGCAATCAAAGCAAAACTGCATTTAAAAATTTTATTTAAATTTCTTTTAGATTTCCAATACTTGTATCTACTTTACCGAAGTATTGTGGCCTGAATTCAATATATGGAATTTTCTTAGTGCAATTTTTTATTATCAGAGATGTTATCCTAACTTGCAGAAAAATAGAAAAAATTTAAAACCAATCATGCATAATAGTAGAGTATCTATGTATCTTGATAAGTTGCATAACAAACGTGACATGGCAATCGAAACAGTATATCTATCAGCAGTTCAATCCTAGAAATAAACGTTATTCTATTAGATAAAGTGTTGAATGAAATATGCTGAAAATATATGTTGCATATATTTTCTTAAAATCAACTTTCCATTATAATGTAGTTTATCATATTTGTCCCGGGTAATTTTTTTCTATTTTGAATTTGTCAAATTATTATAGCAATTAAATTGTACTATGTCTTGTTGCATCAGCAAAATTAAAAATATCTACATTTACAAATATATGTATATGTCAGTTTGTAATCATATGTATAAGAACTAGTCAAGCGATTAAACAAAGACAATTATATGTGAAAACTAATGTCAAAATTTATACAAATATTTGTTTTGATACGTCTATAGTATCATAAACTCAGGGATAGATAGCTACAGATACTTCCAATTACATAAGATGTTTTAGAAAACAAGAAATAATGAAGGCTTTGGGATATATAAATTGATCAAGACCTAATATCGAAATATTTGAACAATTATTAGAATTTTTACTTGTACAGAATCGTTCTCATATTTCTTTCGTACAAAATGACATATAAAATAAATTCATACTTATGAAGAGATTATATTGTACAATTAGAAGAGCAAATAAAATATGTATAAGTTAAATATAAGTAATTTATCGAACAACCAATCTTGTCAATAAAAAAAATTTAATAATGAATTATAACAATTTCAACAAACATTTTTCTATTACAATAAAATATTTGTTTTCTGAAACGTCGCATCATAATTGTATAGATATTGATGAAATTCGCTTCCATACCATCCACATGTCATATGTTAATATAGCGCATTTATGTATGATTATCTCTGTATGTACATTCCATACATTAGTTTTCCGGTTATTCTTCATTGCCATGTGCATTGGAGATTTGTAAAATAAAATTGTAAAACAAATGTATATAACATAAATTATACATATGTGAAATAAATAATTTTAATCGTAATAATATTAACGCGTGTGACTACAAAGATATAAATATACGAATTCTTTGTGTTGTAATATTTATATAATTTATATGTATATTATATTTTTCAAAGCCAAGAAATGTGTATAGAATGCTCTATACATTATTTACAATAATTTGGTTTATCATGTATTGCTGCACAAAGCAAATAACAATATTTATGAATGTACATTTAGTGTCAATCACTCTGTTGAAAGAAGCGTCAACATTGTAAATATATACAATACTATACTCAAACGATAAGTGTTCTTCGACATAATAAGTATCATTTAAAATATCTCTACACGGGATAAAATTTCTAAAATATTACAGAATATTCAACATCTTGTGTAATATTTATCCTAATGCGAAGTAAAACATTCCAATATATATCTATATATAATCTTATTTACAATTTAATATATCTTTTATTGAAAACCTGATCGAGATAAGATAATGATGGTAAACTTCTGCGATATAGATACAATTCTAGTACAAAAATTTAGTACAAAAGTTTGCTTTTCTAACTGTTGGAGATATTTGTGCGATTATTTTTTTACATACTCATTAAAGATATAGGAACATGTTGGCATATCTCTAATAGCTAGAAAATCTTTTTATTATTGAATGAAAATCTGAAAATTCGAATGTTAAAATTATATTATATTATATTCACAGGAAGACAAAAAATTAGCTGGATACATAATATAAAAATAATTAGAAAAAAAAGTTTTCATTTGTTAACTGTTTGTAAGTAGTTTCTATGTTATTAACTCCACAAGACTTTGTAAAAAAATAAATCTTTTTACTTACTTAAAAAGTGGAGATATTTCACTTTTGCTCGGAATCATTCAATTGTATCTACATCGAAAGAAATATAATCAATTAAGACAATCGTAACAGGGAGATAAATGTGGCATTTTAATATTATGGTACGAGTTAATATGTTGCTGAATAAATGGGCAGTTGAATAAATCTGTGATCAAGTTCATGAATTCAAATATGTGATATCATATTTATCGCACTGTTGAGAATATCGCCTTAAACGATCGTTTACTACTTTATATGATAATAATACTTAAACGTCAAGTCAACTTATTTTTGTTCGTTTTCTTATTTTGAATTATAAGGTGGATAACGTCTCGACACGGGTTGCCTTTGTCTGGCTAGAAAAGATTGACCCTGTCCCGCACTAAGCGCCGCGAGGCGTTGATCCATCACCTCTCTGTGGCAATTCCCGCCCAATCTATGAAAGGCGGTCACCATCAGCTTCTCCTCCATCTCTCGCAGCAACCTGGACTCTTTCATGGAACGTTCCATGTCCTCGATCATCTTACGCTGCTCCATCAGCTGGTTGCGCAACATGATGACTTCGTTCGGTGAAGAATTATTCTGCTTCGGGTCGAGGCTTTTTATAACACTCTTGGCCTTCTCAATATACTTCTTGTGGCGTTCCTCCAGCGCGGCGTTCTCATACTTCTTCCGCGTGAGCTTCTCCTGAAGAGCAAAAGCTTCCTGCTTCTGAGTCTGCAAAGCACTTTCACGTTCCTCGAGCTGCAGCGTCAGTCGTTCTTTGTCAGCTTGCACTTTCCGCAGTTCGTCCTGCAGTTGCGACAGCTTCTGATTCGGACTTATGTTGTCACTTTTGCTGTCACTGCTGCTAACTTGAGTACCCACCGTTTCCTCCAGTTGGGTTTCTAACTCCATTATCCTCTGATTTGCCTTGCAAAGTTGTTCTTGCTTCGTGTTAAAACGTTCCTCGGAATCCTCAAGTAACGCTTGTATGTTCGGCAACTTGTCCTCATTGCCATTCAACTTTATCTTCATCATCTTGTTCTCCATCTGCAGGCAGAACAGTTTTTCTTTTACCTCAAATGGCATCATTTCCGAGCCGGAAACACTGGTACTGTCGGCGCTGGGTTTTGCCATGTTCTCGGTGGCTTGCAATTGCATGCACTTCAACTCCTCGTTCATCTCTTTTAGAGTATCCCTTTCGACAATCAACCGATCTCTCTCCCTCTCTACAGCGCCCAGCTTTGCTTCCATTTTCTTGCAATCAAACTCCAGCCGATCACACTTGTTGCTCTTTTCATCCAGCTTGTGATGGGCTTCTGTGCGCTGTTGCTTGCATAACTCCAGATGATTACGCAGCTTTGCTGTGAGCTTAACTTCTTCCTCATACTTAAATTTAAATTGTATATTTTCTTTACTATTATCTTCCAATATTTTTAACTGTCTCTTAAGGTCACTCGCGTCCTCTATCTTCTTCTTGTATGACTCTATCATGATTTCATACCTTTCTACCTTATCTTTGTATTCTCTCAAGGCATCCACTTCATCCTTGAGATGATTTCTTTCGTCAGCCGCCTTTTGTAAATTCTCATTTCTCGACTGCAGTTCCAAATTTTCCTTTTCCAACAGCTCTGCCTTCAATCTATAATCATCCCTAGACGTTTCCATCTTGAACAGTTCATCCTTCAATGCTTCCACTTGCTTTCGTTCGGAATACTTAAAGGATTCTTCCGGGTTCTCAAACTCGTCCAGCCGCTCTTGAAGTTTCTTATTCTCCGCGATTAATGCAATCTTCTCTTCTTGCAACAGAGAGAGCTGTTGATCGAGTTCGTGGCATTTCTGTCTCAGTTGGTCTCTCATGTCCACTGCTGCCTGGAAATCAGCATAGAGTCTCTGTTGAGCACTGTCTGGCACATCTGGCACCAGAGACTCAAAGTTCACCTCCTGGACCTCCTGGATACTTTGCATTAACACCTGCTGTACCGTTTCTTCCATACCCATTATCCTGGTGATGAGTAACTGCTTCTGATTACAATTGACAGCGCAGCCGAGGATCAGCTGCAGCAGACGGCGCAGCTCATCGCTGTCGCAGTGCTCGCCTATCTTGGTCGCATCTGGCTTAACATAGTTGGATAGTTGCTGGTTCAGACACTCCACATAGTACTCCATCACAGCCTCTACGATCTTCTTCATGTTGCTCACTCTAAGGCGCCAGTTGGTACCCACATCGGTCTTGATCTTCGCCTTCCACACAGCTGTAAACCATTCTGGTGCGATTTTGGCTAAGGCTTCGGCTAAGGCAACACCATCGCTTATGTCCTCCACAGAATTGTGTGGCGCTTGGAGGTCGAAGGTAGCCAACCACTTGATCAAGTAGTCCAACTGTTGCCGATGGTCCCCCATTTCGTTTCTTTTTTCCTGGACCTGGGAAAGTTCTGAGACTCGTTGATGATGTGGATCTTGTCAAATTCCGTTAATCGTATCGTCCTTGTGACCGCGATTCTCGGTCGAATTCATAATCCCGTATATCGAATGTCGAAATGTCGAATCGGGACACTGTACCGCAGATCACACGTATCCGAGGACTGTGGTGAACCAAGGATTATCTACTCGCGTGCGTTCTCCAACTAACCAAGAAATGCAAAACGGCCACTGTCATCGCGCGCCGTTACGGTCCGATAACGCTTTATCGAGGCGGAAGTCGCGAAATTCGAGCACCGCCTCAAATAACAGCTCGTGCACGTAGCGCGCGATAATTCTATTCTGCATGGCGCACGTCAACCGACGAGGGGAACGTCCGGATTAATCATCGTTCTCTTCCGCGTATTTCGCACCTGGGAGATAAAACAAGGTTCGGTCATAAGCATTACATGCATCTCGCACTTTCTCTCCCCTACGAATTACTTTTATCTTTTCCACACTTTCCACAGCAGAATTTAAGATTGTCTCGTTAATTACCGTAATAGATCTTGTCGAACGTGGATCCAGTGGAAATTTTTGTTGTTTCTTCCTTCGGAAAGTGTGACAAGTGGAAGTTCTATATATAAACTCCAAGTCCGCAAATACAATAGAGTAGTAAGCCTTAAGTCTTAAAAAATTGATCAATCACAGTTGAATATAAGAAGAATAATCGACTATGATTGGTCAATTCTTTAAGACTTAAGGGTTACTACTCTATTGTGTTTGCGGATTAAGAGTTGGAATTGTTGGGTATCCAGCTGTCACGGTTGATTTTTTAATAATCTTTCATGACAGCAACGTTTGAGTAGCAGGAATGATTCCAATAGATTCCAATGACCGAGTTTGATCGATCCGGCACGTATTTGCGAACGGACAATATATTTATATTTATATTAAAAAGTAGAAAGGGGAGCAAGAGAAACGGAGGCCTGATGGTGTGATGGGATACGTAATAAAGTATTTGTATGTGTGTGTGTGTGTGTGTGCGCGCGTACGTGCGTGCGTATGTGTGTACGTGCGTATATGTGTGTGCATAGTAGTCAGTTTAGGATAGAATAATTATTTAGAGTCCTATGCTGTAATCCTTAACGATGTTATTATTAAATAATTATCGTTAGAAGAGAACTGTTATTATTGTAACGAAATAACAATAAACTTATCCTAAATTTAGATAAAACAATAAAGATATATATGTTAAATATACATGTTACCTTCATTACAAATTTTGTTACTAGATAATAGATAATACATAAAAGAAACTGAAGCATGATCTAGATATAGTACAATAAATATATCATTTACTTAGTTGATTTATAAATGTATTGTGTTTACAAATAAACTTTTTTACTGCAATAAGTTAAAGTGAAACAAATGTATATTGTATATTGTACAAATGTATATTGTACTAAAAAGTACAGCAATAAAAAAGATTTAAAAACGCACAAATGAAATATCACCTAAAGCATTTTCGCAAATGTACACACTAACTAATGGGATACATCTATCCTGAAAAGCACACAAAGAAGCACGTTATAGCAGAAATCCGAATTAAAGCACTATAGTATGAGTATTCACATCGCCAGTTCTTTTCTCACTCTTGTGCTTTTTTCCTCAATCCTTTGCTCTCTCTCTCTCTCTCTCTCTCTCTCTCTCTCTCTCTCTCTCTATTCCGCTGCTAAAGCGGGGAGCACAAACTCTTGCATAACGCATAACACATAAGACATAAAAAATTGAACCAATAAGAGTTTTTTATTTCAGAGAAAAAAAGGAAACGGAGGACTTTGATTGGTACATTTTCTTATGCCTAATTCACACTGCGTAGAAAGCGTCAAACAGCGGAGCAGTAATCAACCAGCAAGGCGATATTGTTTACACTACTGTAAATATCGCTTCACTGATTGGTTGCTATTCCGCTGCTTGAAGCTTGCTGCGCCAGCGTGAATTAGGCATTATGCATTACGTGTTATGGCTCCGGCACCAGCGCGATGTTAGTCACGCGACACTCGATTCAATGACAGTATACTTTTAGAATGAAAATATCAATAAAGCTGTACACTCATTAAATATTGCTTATTGCGCGCAACGAACATCGCGCTGGTGTACCGGAAGTATTACGGGAGTTCGCGTTCTTGTGAATATTAACGTGATTAAGAGTTAAAAACTGATAATATTGTACTAATTTTATGATTTATTAGTTTAATAGATGTATTTATGCATTCAGAACTCAATAATATTCGAGTTTTCTTTAAAATTGTGATTTCAGTGTTGATTATTAACAGAGATAACTGCTGTAAACAATTGGCGACAACAGAGAAAAATATCAGGGTGCTGCTCGTTTCAATCCAGGCCTGGTCAATCTCTCCTCTGAGTTGATAGACTTTCGCTCTGCCACTGACAGCCCTGACGTTGTTGTATTTCTGTTGTATGTATTCATATCTAGTAAATTTCTTTGCGTTTCACAGTTGGCAGCCTTTTCCTCTGATGCGACATTCATAGACAGAGATGGCGGAGATTTAGAGAGAGATGCTTGCAAACTGAGCACACCATAGGTCTGTTTTCTGTGACTGAACTAGTGTACACTTTTGGAACTTAAAGTGAGAAAGAGAGTTCTAAAACAGAGTCTAGTGCAGGAACAGAAAACAGACTACATGTTATCCCTTCTACCATGATAAACTCTCGGAAGGATCACGCTGTACTCAGGGTCACATTAACAAGGAAACAAAAAAATTAGCGTCAATCTGATTGCTGTTACATTCGTATTTGTACAAAATGAACATGCGTAGGAGCGCACCTAATATTTTAATATGTGGTATGTAATAGTTGTTATTCAGTATAAATTCCGAATACCCTTAATAATTATTGTCAATGGTTTTTTAGGCACACCTGGCGTAGGCAAGAGCTTGATGGCGCATTTGTTGGAGGAAGAAACTAAACTAAATTGGATCGACGTCAGTAAAGTAGCTATTGAGACTGGATGTGTGGGCGAGTATGATGAAGACTTACAATGCAGTGTATTGGATGAAGACGCAGTAATTATTCTTGTAGCCACAGTTACATTAATATTTTCCATGTCATATGACCCTCTCATGACCTATACTAAACTCATTGTTTGATATTTAGGCTGTTAAAGAAATATAATCATAATTGCATAATTAAATGTATAAATATTGATACATTGATGCTGGTTAGCAATTACTTTTTAATAAACAATAAATTAAAAGGCTCAATAAATTGATAAATAATATAAAAAGGAAAGGGCTACGAGCTGAACTAATTGTATGTGCTAAGAATATATATTTTTTAAACAAATAACAAAAATGTTTTGACCCCTATTGAGTCATTATCAATGTTAGTATAATTGTTATAAATTTAAAGTTGTACCTAAGTCACAGTAACATATGTACTTATCATTAAACGCAATTCCTATGCTAAAATTCTTCCTCAAAGTAATAATTGATGAAAATGAATGATTGGAGGTGGTCATCGAATTATGTGTGATATCATCTTGAACATTTGACAGTAGAAGTTCCTTGTTAATTGATCAAGGCCTGGTACTGTCAACATAGATTAACTTTAATGTTTATTTTTTCAATTTATTCTTGATCTTTTTATAATTCTAAAAATATTTTAATTCTGAATCTAAGAAATTCTGGGAATTTGGAAAAAGTAAACAAAGTTAAATTAAGATTTAAGTTAATTTTACATTAGTAAAATTGGGTCTAAGAAACACAATGCAATTGTCTGTTACTAGTGTAATACAAACATTAGATTTTGATCTTTATAATTACAATTTTTGTAGTTTTTTAAATTATGAAATACTTGTTAATAAAATTATCGCATAGGTAAATTTATATCGTACGAAAAAAATTTACTCCATCCCATGGAGTGCATCAAACGGCAAATTTCTTTGAAAAAAAAAAACGTTATTTTTTAAAAGATGCCAGGTAGGGATAATGATAGATTCAAAATCCATTGAAAGCTTCGTAAAGTATAGATTTTACCCTTGAAAACGAAAAAAAAAGCTTTTAAATATGACTTTTTCACAGAGTTATACTTATTTATGCTAAATTTCGATATGAATTTATGTATGCAATAATTTTATTGATGAGTATATATGTTATTTAATAAGCATAATGAACAAATAAAAACATGAATTATTAATGTTAATTCTATACAATGTTAAGTTATTTAAAATTGGCTAACAAGTTTGGTTAAATTAAAATTATGAAATAGTTTCTATAGATTATATTATCTAGGTCACATGTATGTTAAACATACAAATTTTTGTTTGCAATATCTCTTTCTAGTTACTGAAACTTATGGAGGATTGGATGAGAAAAGGAGGACAAATCGTGGACTATCACAGTGCCGACTTATTCCCTGTAAGTTGGTTTGACATTGTGTTTGTGCTCAGAACAAACAATACTATTTTATACGACCGTTTACATGAAAGAGGCTATAACAAGAAAAAACTACAAAGCAATGTAGAAGCTGAAATTTTTGAAATTGTTGTCCAAGAAGCAAAAGACTCGTTTGAACCAGAAATAGTACATGAACTAACGAACGATACTCCAGATGAGCTGATAGTTAATGTAGATAGAATATGTCAGTGGGTAGAGCAATGGAAAATAGATAATAAGTAAAAGTGAGAAAATGTATATTAAATATTTCTTATGTAGAGTTATTTTCTCATTATTAATCAGAATAAAAGATATCAATAAATAATAAATAAAATATCTTTTCATATAAAGTTCACGATTATGTTTATATGATAAACGTAAAGAAATCAGGTCAATGGTCGGGCACAAATGAAGATGTATTAGTTAACTAATTAAAATATTTATTATTGTATATAAATTGAACGTTTCACGACCGGGTTACTTCTTCAGAATAAACAATTAAATTGCTAGTATAATAATGTCAGTTTTGACATAACGCAAAAATTGTGTAGTCGCTAATGTAGTATTATTAATGCAAAAGATGTGCTGGTTTAAAGATCTTAAAAACATAAAAAATTAAGAACGTTGTACATACTGATTGATAGTTGAAAAAAGTAGGTGTTTTTATTACATTTTTTATTACATTATAATTGTCAATTATTTCAATTGATTGGTCGTCAATATTTATTTGTTGCGAAAATAACAATTAAAGTCAGTAATATAAAAGTTGTAGTGTCAATTATCGATAATTTGTTGAGCGGAAGTCAGATGATAGTTTGAGTTAATGATGTAAAAAATAACGGCTTAGTGATATTCGAATCTAAGGAGTTAAAGCGAACCATTCCAGCTCGATCGAACGCACAAATTCAAATCTTGCATTAACAATACTGCATTAACGACTATATTTTTTGCGTTATGCTAAAACCAACATTATTATATTAGCGATTTGTTTATGCTGAAGAAAGTGACCCGTAATCACGTAACGTTCAATTTATATACAATAATAAATATTTTAATTAGTTAATTAATACATCTTAATTTGGTCGATCATTGACCTAATTCTTTACGTTTTTTGCTTTCGCATAATACCAGCGATTTCTATACTTTTATATAATAATATAATTATATAATTATATTTAATATAATTATATAATTATAATAAATATATATTTCTCATATATACTTATATAGATATATAACATATTTGTCATTTTATTACAAATATATAAACTTATTGACGCAATAAAATGTGATTGTACAAGTTCTAAAATCTATTAAACAAACATCTGTATATATAACAAACACATAAGCACTCATATATGTATGTGTGTGTGTGTGTACAC